GGATCCCGCTAAAACACAAGTTCTGATTTGGCAGAGCTGGGAGATGCTAAGAATAGTCTGCTTTCCCAGCAGATTCCCAAGTGATGCTGATATGGCTGGTCTGAACCACACTGAGCAGTCGAGAGCCACTTAGTGTAGATGAGGGGTACACAAGGGACCCACACATTGCCTGTGGAGGGGTGCTTTAGACTAAAGAGCATCCTTTGGGGTTTACTGACTCCCTTACAGCTCAGAGATGCGTTAATTTAGATGTGGAGAGAACTTTTGCCTTGGGTATTAAATTTAAATCCCATAATTCATGGTTCACCATCTGGGTGGCCTTGAACAGCTTCTTTCACCTTATTTTGAGTCTCAATTTTTTGTCTTCCTCGTAGTTAGAATATCCAAATCAATCAGATTAACAAGAGAAAAAAAAATGTGTTTAGCAAGACACCAGCATAGCTTTGGAAAGGATAGATATTCTGAAACTTGATGGCTGTCACTGTCGCTGCTGTAAGGACCCGGCAGGGATTAATGTGCGTGAGAAGTAGTCAGGAGCCCCTCTGTTGTCTAGCCGTGCATCAAATAGAGAGAACCAGTGGTCAGTTTTGTATCCTAGACTGTTTGCTTCTTTGCAGCCAAGGCAAGGCTATGGTTACTTAAGAAGACATTAGCTTGACCTACTGAAAAATCATGTCCCTGCCCAATGAACTTCTACAGTAGCTTAGGTGCAGGCCTGATAAAACGTGACAAATGATTCTCTCTTGGAAGCAAATATATGCTGAGCACTTGTCATCCTAAGAAGCAAATAGTTCTGAACTGTGCTGACTCCCTGCAGAGATCTTATTCCCACCTTAGGTCTTTGGAGTTCACTGACCTCTTTGTCACCTTTGCTCATCAACCTCTTGAACTTCATGCTGGGCTAATACCTGATGCTGTGTTCATCCCTTTGTAGCACTTGCCTCTTCCAGGTAGCAAGTTCGTGTGTGTGTATGCGTATGTGTGCGCGTGTGTGTGGTGTGCGTGTATGTGCAGTGTGGTGTGAGTACGTGTGTGTATGTCTGTGTGTGGTGTGGTGTGTTGCGGTGTGTTGTGTGTATGTGTGTGTGAGATGTGCGGGTGTGTGATGTGTGTGTGGTGTGCATGTGTGTGTGGTGTGCATGTGTGTGTGGTGTGTGTGTATGTGTAGTTTGGTGTATGTGTATGTGGTGTGTGGGTGTGGTGTGCATTTGTGTGTGGTATGGTGTGCGTGGTATGCGGGTGTGTGTGGTGTGGTGTGTGTGTGGTGTGCATGTTTGTGTGTGTGGTGTGTATGTGTGTGCTGTACATGTGTGGTATGCATGTGTGATGTGCATGTGTGTGTGGTGTGTGTATGATATGCATGTGTTGTGTGGTGTGTGTGGTGTGTGTATGGTGTGCATGTGTGGTGTGGTGTGTATATGTGTATATAGGCCAGAGACTGATGTTGGGATGCCTTCCTCCATCACTCTCTGTGTTATTTTTTGAGAAAAGGTCTCTCATTGGAGCTGGAGTTTTGGTAGACTATCTGGCCAGTGACCGCCTATGACTTTCCTGTCTCCATGCCACTGCTACAGGTAGAGGTGTGCACCACCCACCATGCCCGGTTTTTTTATATGGGTGTTCAGGATCCAAACTCAGAGCCTTAGACTTGCATTTATACTAGCAGTTGACCCACTGAGCCATCTCCCTAGCCTCCTGCACACTGTGTGAAGGTGTGAGATCTTTGTAGTCCCGTGGGTTGCGCTCAAATGATTGGTGAGCCAATTGAACGGCACACAGAATCCTTCCTCGCAGAGTCTGAGGAGTGTGAGAGGATTAGGGAAGGATTTCTGGAAAGAGTGACACCTGATTGAGACTTCACAAAGCATCGGCAGGCAGGAGGTGCAGTGGCGTGGGGGAAACCATGATGCGCTTGAGGAAATGTGTGCGGTCTGGATAGACCGAGGCATGACAGGGACACGGAGGAGAAGGGGTGTCTGAGACATTGACACCATGCCTTCTCACTCCCTCCCCTGAAGAAGACATTAGGGCCAGCACCAGCGGAAGATCACACAAATCATCCCAGATTCCCAAGGTCTACTCCCATTGCCCAGCCAAAGCCTCGAGTGAGGCAGAGCAGACAGGGCTTACTACAGGGCAGCTAAGAAATAGGATTTATCTTAAGGATAATGGAAGACCAATTAAGAACTTTAAGCAGGAATGCTTTGAGAGTGCATTAAAGGTGGCTGATATTATAGACAGGCAAGTTGAGCCAGAGTTGGTGGCACAGGCCCATAATTCTAGCACAAGGAAGGTGGAGGCAGGAGGATTTCTGAGAGTTCTTGGTCAGTCTGGTCCATGTAGCAAGTCCCACCCCAGCCAGGACTTCATTGTGAGACATGATTGTCTCAAAATATAAATTAGATGAGAAAGATACAGGAAAAATGATAAGCAGTTTTGTGTGTTTTGAGACAGGAGCCCTTGTAGCCCAGGCTAGCCTCAAGCTGGCTCCATCTCTCCAAAGCTGGCATTACAGGTGCGTATTAACTTCCCCTACTAGGAGTTTTACCACCTTAGTGTTACTCTTAATGCCCTCTCTGCTCTGAACTTGTTTCCCTAAGTCAGAGCACAGCACTCACTCCCGAGGTCCCCTTTGCCGGGCTCCTCAGACAGGACCTTGGAACATTGTGTATCAGTGCGTTCTGGGGATGAGTGTCTTGCTCACATTTTCTGCAGTGAGCTGGTTAGCAAGGCAATGCAGTGCTAACTGGGTTTTAGAACTGGACGTGCTGTGTCCTAGTTCTGGGGACATTGGGGAAGTTATGTCACTTCTCCAAACTTTATCCATAAAATGGAAATAATACTGGCTTTATGGTTGTGGTAGTTTGAATGTAATTGGCCACCATAAGCTCATAAGAAGTGGCACTATTAGGAGGTGTGGCTTTGTTGGAGTAGGTATGGCCTTGTTGGAGGAAGTGTGTCACTGTTAGGTGGGCTTTGGCGTTTCCTATGCTCAAGATATGCTCAGTGTCTCAGATCACTTCCTGTTGCCTGCGGGGATCAAGATGTAGCTCCCTCTCCACTCTCCTCTCCAGCACTATGTCTGCCTGTACGCCACCATGTCCTGCCATGATAATAATGAACTAAGTCTCTGAAACTGTAAGCCACTCAATTAAATGTTTTCCTTTGTAAGAGTTGCTGTGGTCATGGTGTCTCTTCACAGCAATAGAAACCCTAAGACAATGGTTATTTTGGGGTTTGTTTATATATTATACATATATGTATATATATTATATGTTTATATATAGTATTTTAATGTTAGATATAATATAGTATATATTATGTATATTTTAATATATTATATATATTTGAGAATAAAATTAGATGATGCTGTTAACAATAATAATGACCACGATTGGCAAGATGGCTCAGTGTGCAAGTCTGACATCCTAAGTTCAGTCCCCAAGACCTGCAAGATGGGAGGAGAGAACTGACTCTTAATAGCTATCTTCTGACCTCCACGCTTGTACCATGTAGTGTGCATAAGCACACACACAAAATAAATAAAATGTAAAAGCAATCAACCCTTTGGTAAGCATCAATTTTGTGTCAGACCCTGGGCCAGATACATTCATCAAGTCTTTAAACCAGAACACCAGAAGCAGTAATTAAAATAGAATACCAGAACAGGGCTGAAGATATTGCTCAAGGGGAAATCACTTGCTAGCACACACCAGCCCTTGGGTTCAGTCGCTTGTACCACAAAAACAAGACAAGCACCAGAAGTGGTTTTCAGTTTGTGCAGGCTCTCAGTAAATGTTAGATCCCTCCTGCCAATTCCTGCTGGTCATTACTGGTCCGATAGCGATGGATTATCGCTTTAGCACTGCCTTACAATGGCGATTTCCAAAAATCAGCAAAGAAACTAAGGCAGATTTCATCTGAGCCCAGGAAAGCAGCCAGTAAGTAATTTCCGGCTTCCTTTAGTAATTTTCAGCTTCCTTTCACCCAGGAAATGCTTGTGACTTAGAAATCAACTGTACTTTAACCAAATTATGATTTGATGTAATTAGCCCTTGAACTTAATTTTGAGGTTCAGGATCTTGGGCTGTGACAGAAACGAAACATCTGCCTTCCAGACTGTGATGTTGTTTGTGTGCTTTTGAGATAACAATGTCTGTCTTCTGACTAGGTGGTGACAATAAACATCAGAATACAAATTGTGCTTAAAAGGAAAATGGAATGTGTAGAGTTGTGTGCAGGATGGAATGAGTTCCCTAAATGTCTCAACCTAGAAACCTTCTCGGTTCCTGGCAGCACAGGGCCCCAACTTTCTGTGAAGTAAAGGAAAATGCTTTTTAGTCCTCAGAATCACAGTCCGCTTGGTGGCTTTCTTTTCCTTCCCCGCATCAGTCTTATGTAACCATAAGACTTTGACAATATAAAACACAGATTAAAACTAACTCTCTAGCAATCCTAGGATTATGGGCTCAGGAGGGTAAATCTTCCGTCAAGTGTGAGATGACCGCACCCACATCTCATGCTAAGGAAAGCAGCTGTGGGAGGCAGCGCTGTGCTTGGGTCCTGGTTTGTGTCTGGTTCCACAAGATCAGTTCGTGGGAGCCTCACGGTCCATTGTGCATAAAGTACATGAGGAACTGTAAATGCAAAGTGTGGTGGGTTGCTGGCAGCGGTCATGGTACCTGAATACTGGCTGGCGCCCTGGAGTCAGCCTTGATCCCTCTCAACAGAGCGTGGAAAGTGGGTGGGAGTGACCCCTGGAAGTGCATGTCTCTTTATCTGTGGCTGCAGTGCTGAATCAGTCGGAGATTACTTTATCCCTAGGTGTTAGCGTAAAGCTAGAGATTTTAGAATGTGCTCTGGGATATCTTAAAACCCTTTTCTCCTTCCTGATATAGCGTCCCCTCTGTCCCTCACCCTCTCATGCTGCCTTACAGGGACAGGATAGGGGATGAGACTGATATGCCATCTTTCCCTTATCTCCGCCTTTTATTTTCCAGCAACAGCTGCAGGCCTATGTGGCCTGGGTGAATGCCCAGCTGAAGAAGAGGCCATCCGTGAAGCCTGTGCAGGACCTGCGACAGGATCTCCGAGATGGAGTGATCCTGGCCTATCTCATCGAGATTGTTGGTCAGTTGGACTCTGATGCTAGTGTAGACGAGAATCTGACTTCTTTCTCCTCCATGCTCCCTTCAAGCAGGTTGTTGGCATTCATGGCGATGGAGTTGGGAAGACCTAAAATATTTGCCCAAGGTTAATTCCCATCCGGTCAATAAACACTGTGCCAGTCCCTGTATTATATGAGGAGATGTTGGCCTGCCAGTGCCCTCAGAGGCTCCCAGTCTAGAAAGACTGGAAAGTGAGATCCGTCTTATTACTATGTTAGTGTCCTGATGGGGGTACATGCAGAGCAGGGTACATAGAAGAGACACCCTCCCTTAGTCCTAGGGGTTCAGGAAAGGCAGAGCAGAAGAATCCGTGTCAAACAGAGGAGGAGGGCTTCCAGGCTTCCAGAAGAACTGCAGTCTAAATTAAAAGCACAGTGGGAGGCCTGGAGAGTTGGTTCAGTGGTCGAGTGTACTGGCTGCTCTTGCAGAGGACCTGGTTCGACTCCTGGCACCCGTGTGGTAGCTCATAACCATCTATAACTCCAGTGCCAGGGGAACGAACACTTTTTTTTCCTGCACAAATATACATGCAGGTAAAACACTCATGCATACACACACACACAGACACACACATACATACACAGACACACACACACACACACACAAAGGAAAAACAAAACAAACAAACAAACAAAAAAACAGAAAAGGAGTAGCGTTCAGGCCAAAAGAGAAAATGTCGCCAATAATAGGACTCTTCTGTGTGTGACACTCAGACCCATGTGTTTTCACAGAAGGGCTTTCCTCTTAACTTCAGGCCCTCTTCTTATTAGGGTCTCGTATGTCCAAAGTGTTTTCCATCGCTCCGCTATGATTTCTCTCACTGACTGGCAATCAGGTATTCCATAGACGGAGCTCTTGAAGAGAATTATGCTCTATACTTTGCTCTTATGCTTCCAAAACCCCCAACCAAATGCATGTAATCAGTTCTCAAACATTTATTACTGACCAGTTGATATTGCTGGGTGTCCTGGAGGTATATGGTGTGGAAGAAGCTGGTTTGTAACAGGCAGCCTATCTGCCTGTCTGTGAGTACTTTTTTTGGAGACGGCTCACGATTGACTAATCATTTGTAATAAGTGGAACAGTGGCGTGGGTCATTGCCGCTGGTTGGTGGCATGCTTGCTATTTTGTGAGCTTATTTGACCACCACACCCTTAGGAAACAGATTTATTACTTCTGTTTCCAGGAAACAAAAGGGACCATCTATAAAAATTAATTAATTAATAGGTACTTAGTATGTGTAAAAAATATGCTCTTTTGATTTCTTTGTGTTATACAGTTCAAGTGGAGTATTCCTCATCTAAAATGCTTGGTACCAAAAATGCTTCAGCTATTGGATTAAAAAAAAATAGAGTTGAGCACTTACAGCTAAAAATTATGGAAAGTCCATAGTCTGAAAATGTCCCCAAATCAGAATTTTTTGAGCACTAGTATGATGCTTAAAACATTTCAGATTTTTTAACTGGAGAGCTGGCTCAGCAGTCAAGATCACTGGCTGCTCTTCCAGAGGACCTGGGTTTGAGCCCCATGGCCCACTGGAACTCAGCATGGTGACTATATAACTCCATGGTGACATCTATAACTCCAGTTCCAGGGAATCTGATGCCCTCTTCTGGCCTCCCTGGGTACCAGACATGCACACAGTACATAGGCATACTTGAACATGCCCATATACATAAAATAATAATAATGTTTCAGATTTTGGAGCATTTGTAAGTTCAAAATTTTAGATTATGGATGATAAACCTATATTATTTTACTGATGAGGTTTACAAGGCTCAGCCACTTTGCAAGTTTATAAATATTGAAGTATCCAGGTAAAGGTGCAAACCTAGTTCTATTTTAATTCCAAAGACCTGACTAGGGAAATGACTCAGATATTAAGAGTATATATACTGATTTTGCAGATCAACCAAGTAGGGTGGCTCACAGACTTCTGTAATTCCAGCTCCAAGGCATCTCTCTTCTGGACTCCAAGGTCATCAGCACTTCTATGTATACACACACACATGCATGCACATGTACACGCGCACACACTCATGCATGCACACATGCATGCACTAAAAATAAAAATTTTAAAAAATCCCCAAATCCATTTTAAGCATTTTCTTTTCCCCTTATTTAAATAGATTACATGTGGACTAGCAGGAACCATAGGCACAAAAGGATAAAAACGAAAGCTCTTCTTCTACCTGTATTCCTTCAACAGAAACTGTATCAGTACTTTTGTTTTCTGTGACACAAAGCAGCTTAAAGAAGGAGGTTTGCTTTGGATCACAGTTTGAGGAGAAGTCCAGCAGAGTGGGGAGAGTGGTGGCAGGGGTTCGAGGCAGTTGGTCAGGTTGCAGCCATACCCAGAGGACTGAGCAGCGAGTGCTGGTGCTTGGCTCACTTTCTCCTGTCCCCGAGTCCAGGATCCACACCCAGGCTATGGTGCTGCCCATTTTTTGGGTTCTTCCTACCTCAAATTACTTAATTAAAACACTCTCTCACAGGCGTGGCCAGAGAGGCTAACCCAAGGTAAATAGTTCCTTAACTGAGAGACCTGTTTCCTAGGTGATTGTATATCCTGTGAAGTTGAGCATCGGTGTTGGCCATCAGTTACTCATCCTCCATTCGTGGCATAACTGGTGTTGTTTCCAGAGATGTTATGAACCTGGGAAGCAGTATTAATGTCTTTTTGTTTTCCCAAAATCCAGATTTCAAAACACTGTCTTTTTGTATGTGTGTGTGTATGCGTGTGTGTGTGTTTCTGCAAATTGAACTGGGCCTTGAATATGCTAGGCAAGCACTCTACAACTAAGGTATATCCCCAGCCTGAAATAACCTCAGGGGGCCAAGGAGCTGGTTCAGTGAAGCTTCATGTGCAAGCATGAGGGTTAGAGTTTGAATCTCCAGGACCCATGTTTAAAAAAGCCATACATGGTCACAAATACATCTATAACTCCAGCTGTGGGGGGTGAAGACAGGAGGATCACTGGGGCTTGCTGACCGCCACCCTTGCTCCAAGTTCAGGAAAAACAAAACAAAAAGCTGTTTTAAGGGAATAAAGTATATAGTGACAGAGCAGATGCCAGCTTCTTCCATATGTGCATCCATGCACACACATGTGTGCACACACCACATACCTCATATACACTCAGACGTACATAACAAAAAGAGAAAACCTCATGGCCTCTCCCTAATTTTGTATATTAGGCTTCAGTTTTTCACTGAGTTCTGGACCTGCATATACAGTGTCCTAATCACCACTGTTTGAATGTCTTAGATGCAGCTAAACAGAACTTTGTATTTCTCTGTCCACACCAAGCCCTTTACCATCCTTGCCCACCCCCACCTTCCATCTTCGTCAAGGAACACTTCAAGTCATTCTCTCACTTGCTAAGGAGAACTCTTAGAAGTCATTCCTAAGTATTTTTTTCCCTCCTGAACCACAGCCAGTTCTTAACATGTACTTTCTGCTTTGTATTCAAAATATACTCAGTGTCTGACTCTGGCCAGCCATTCTCTTCCACTTTAACCCTTACCATCCTTATCTCTTGCCTTGAATATTTAGACTCTCTTTCTCTCTGTTTCATCCCCCTCATGATCTATATATACACACAGTCAACTTTGGAAAACAAACACAAACTAGTTAATGTCCCCATCCTGTCCGAAAGTACCCACTGGCTTTTCATTACCCTTGGAATAAAATCCAGGGTCGTTCCTGTGGGTCCCCAAGGCCCTATGTGACTGGCCTTGCTTAGCTTGGTGCCCTTTCCTGGTCTTGACTCTGATAACTCCACTCTAGCCACACTGGTCTTTTCTTTTTCATTTGAGACAAGGTCTGATGTCACCCAGGCTGGCCCAGTACTTGCTTTGTAGCCATGGCTAACTTCAATGAATCTGATGATAATTCCTGATCGTCGTGTCTCAGCCTCCCAACTGCTGAGATCGTAGGCATGTACTACGTGCCTAGCTAGCCACACTGCTCTTTTTGCCCCTCAGATGGTCTGAGCTAATCCCATGTTGGGGTTTATATGGCTCTTCAGCCTGGCATGTGCCCTTCTGTCTTAGTTAGTTAGGGTTTCTGTTGCTGTGAAGAGACACCAGGAACCATGGCAACTCTTCAAGAGGAAAACATTTAATTGTGATGGATCACTTATGGTTCAGAGGTTTCGTCCATTATCATCACGTTGGAGAGCAAGGCAGTATGCAGGTAGACATGCTGCTAGAGCTGGAGCTGAGAGTTCTTTCATCTTGACTTACAGGCAACAGGAAATGGTCTGAGAACCTGGTGTGGCTTGAGCATACATGAGACCTCAAAACCACAGTGACATACTACTTCCAACAAGGCCACACCTACTCCAACAAAGCCACACCTCCTAATAGTGCCACTCCCTTTGGGGGCCATTTTCTTTCAAACCACCATACTTTCCTAAATATAAATATTTCCTATTCAGACTTTTCAAGACTGTATTATTAGAAAGGCCATGATCACTATTCTTTTCTGTCTTTATTTTTACCCTAAATTATATTAAACGTAAATTGTTATATTATAGTTAAACTAAGAGGGAAGAGACTTGTTTACCTTGTTCCCTGCTTTCTGTTGTACCCAGAACAGTGTTTGGCACACAGCGTGAATATTTGTTGAATTAATAAACGTACCCACAATAACTTCACAGGACTGTGTGTTTATACCTGAAAGACTGAAGCGTTCTGAAAGTTTTTCATTTTTCTCTAACCACTTCCCCTAGTGCATACACGAGGACTTAACTCACTCCTTTGTTTATGGAGACTTTTAGTGTTTGTATCCCCTCCCTTGTTTGCGCCTGGCCGCTATGAAGCTTTGATAATGTTCTTCTGACCTGATGTGTTACTGGTTTGTCTCCCCTCTCCTAACAGCAGGAGAAAAACTGAGTGGCGTGCAGTTGAGTCCCAGTAACCAACAAGAGATGAAGGATAACGTGGAGAGAGTGCTACAGTTTGTAGCTTCCAAAAAGATTCGCATGCATCAGACTTCAGCTAAAGGTTAGTCAGTACTTCATCCTCGGGAACGGAGCACTTAACCTTTACTGGTGCTAGCCAGTTTGTCAGACTCCCTTGGCCATGTGAGCAGCGGCTCTGAGCAGACTGGAGTAGGATTAGGCTCATGGTTTTATGTCCTTGTTCCATGAAGACAGGTAACCCCTTAGAAGACAGTGATCGAGTACTGAGATCCCAGTGCTCCAGAGACCTGGTTGGAGGTGATTGCGCTCTATTAATTTGAATTGAATATAGATATGCTTGAGTGTGTGTGGGAAAATTAATGATACAAGAATAAATGACAAAATTGAGATATTAATTTTGGAATGTCTCATTTAAATTTTCACATATGAAGATGGATTGTGTTTTCTGAGATCTTTGGGTTTTATGATCGAGTACTATTACAAACCCTCATAACTTATGCTTTTCCATTCAATTTCCTAGAAGAAACTCTTTCATTTCATTATTTTTCTTTCCTTTCCTCCTTTCCTTTATTTCCTGAGACAGGATCTTATGTAGCCCAGGCTGATCTTGAAACTTCCAAGTAGCCAAGGATGACCTTGAACTTCTGATCCTCTAGCTTCTACCTCCTCTATAGTCACATTACAAAGCTGCACCATCCCCCAGCTTTATGTGGAGTTGGAGACTGAATGCAGGGCCTTGTTAATGTTAGGCAAGCGCTGGATTAACTGAGACACATCTCTAACACCGCCCGGCCTCAATATATGTATTTTTGAGACAGGGTCTCACCGTGTAGCCCTGGCTGGTCTAGAATTTGCTGTATCCTAGGCTTTCCTGAAATTAGGTGTTTCTTCTGTCTCTGTATCTTAAGTTATAAAATCAGAGAGAGATGTGTGCCACACTCAGGTTAAAGGGAAAATATTTTATAGCATTTCTTTCTTCTTTTTTCTTTTGGCTGTGAGAACATTCCAGTCAGACAAAGGGGGCCCTGCAGTGTTTATATGTAGTCTTCTGTAGTGGCATAACCCTTTGCCCATGCTGTAAGAAAGGCGCCACGTAGGGGTCCTCCGAAAGCATATGCTCCCTTCTCCTTTTGATGCTTTTCTGGAAGTGACCAGATCTGGTCTGTTTCAGCACCAGTTTCTGGGTCTGTTGCCTGTACTTTTGCTGAGAATGAGGGCGGGAGGGAACCCTTTCATGTTGGATTATTGGTGTTCTGTGTGTTTGAAGTTACCCAGGTGAGCAAATAGTGACCATTAAGAGCATTTGGTAGAGGACATCAAATAGTCCTCGGCATGCTTTGTACATTTGAAAGGCTACAAAGCCAAACAATGGAATTGTAGCCATTTCCTTACTTTACCTTTAACCACAGCTTTCACAATATGTGCCCCCCCCCCCCGTGTGTGTGTGTGTGTGTGTGTGTGTGCGCGCGCGCGCGTGCGCGCGCGGGCGCGCATGTGTTTCTTTCCTCTTTTTTTTCTAGGGCAGAATTTAGAGTGCAGTTCTGGCTTTGGTCTGCTCCCCATGTGCAGTGGGCTTGGGGATCTGGCCCAGTAAAATAGGCTATTTTAAGGGAAGCCTGCCATTCATTGTCTTTCACCTGAAGAAGCTCACTTTCCTGATTAGTCTACTGCATCGATTTCCCTCTCCGTCCAGCTTTCCACGCCACAGCAAGAGTGAGCTAAGAGCACACATTGTTGTACCACTGCTGTGCACCTAAAGTCCCTCGGCTGAAATCTGGCGTCTTCCCTACAGCCCACCTGGTCCTGTATGACCTCTGGTTCCTCCCCTTCTACACTTTTCCCTTCTTCTGGCTCTGGGGCTCTGGCCATCCTGAACTCTTTCATTTTCTCCACCACAGTGCTGGACCATATATATAAAATGCATGTCACATAAGTACTTAAAAAAGTTTCCTAAAGCCGCAATATGAGCAGGAAGGACTGAAAATTTTAATAATATATTTTATGTAACCTATTATATCTGTAATATGATTACTTTACCATGAAGTCAACATTAAACATTACTGAGATAGTTTACATTTTTACTTTTATTTATTTACTATATGTATGGGCATTTTTACCTGCATGTATATCTGTGCACCATGTGTGTGTCTGATGTTCTCAGAGGCTAGAAGAAGGCATCAGATCCCCTGGGACTGGGGTTACAGATGGTTGTGAACTCCATGTGGGTGCTGGGAATCAAATCTGGGTCCTTTAGAAGAGTACCCAGTGCTCATAACGACTGAGCCATCTCTCTAGCCCTGCATGCTCTTTTTTATACTGTCTGAGATCTTTTGCATTCCCGTGTGTGTGAGGTATTTACTTAACTCTTAGGTACTGTACTTGCTTAGAACATATTCCAGTTCGTGGCCGTGACATTTAAGCGCTCAGTAGTCGCCTGTGGCCTGCAGCTCTCCTAACAGACGATATCACCCCATTATACTGATCTCTAGACCTTGGCATGTACCTTTTCCAGAATTGTTCCTATCCCTTCTCCCCTGTTAGCTAAGAAGCAGCACTCCATTCTTAACTGAGGACTCACTTCCCCTATAAAACATCCTTCAGAACTCCAGGATTATATTATCTCTCCACGAATTGCTGAAGACCCCATACCCCTCTTGCCTAACTATTTTATTATCATACTTTATGGTAATTGCCTTTAACCTTCCATGTTCCTTGTTGAACATGGTGTTATGAAAACGGAGACCGCCTGCTGAGTTTACTGTATCATCAGCAATATATAGTACATGCATCAATCCATGGTCTCTGCCTCCCTCTCAGTACCTTTCCATCTGTCTCGTCCTTTAGATATTGTGGAAGGAAACCTGAAGTCCATCATGAGGCTGGTCCTTGCCTTGGCAGCTCATTTTAAACCTGGCTCGAGCAGGACAGTGAGCCAGGGGCGCGACTCCAGAGTCCCTGCACAGAGTCATCAACCACACTGTGCGACGGCTGTGGCCCAAGGAGCAGCTGCTGCTCTGGCTGATGTGTGCCGTGACATGTCTCGGTCAGGACGGGATGTCTTCCGGTATAGACAGAGGTAAAAACCTGGGAGGGGAACTGGCCCCTCTCTCTAGTATTTCTTTGCTTAGATAATAACAGTGCAAGTCGATGGCCATATCGACCAAGCAGACCCACACTGCCAAAGTGATCACAGAATAGAGCGGAGGTTTGGGAAGGAAATCCTAGTGGGAAAAGCTTGGTCATTTTTGGATGGTACTGGGTAGTGGACCTGGAGCTCTGCTGCTACTGTGCTATACCCTGAGGCTTTTGTGTCTTATTTTGAGAGGGGGTCTTATGTTGCCCAGTCTGGCCTTGAACTCATTTTGAAGTCCAGACAGGCATTGAACTTGTGCTCCTGCTGTCTTAGCTTCCAAATAGCCGAATTATCAGCTCAGCTAAGCCAGGCTAAGCCTTTTCTTTCGAGATGTTTACTTTGCAGCTAGCAGAATGTAAGTAACCATGTGTGTAAGTTTGCTCTCATGCCCAAAATTTAAATATATGTGGTTGGCACAGTGTTTTCTTCACTGGGAGATATGTAGTCCATCTGGAGGAGGCTGTATCCTGGAATGTATCCACAAGACCAATCTGTCTTGAAATTTCATGGCAGGAAGTGTTTTGAGGGTTGTGTGGTTGCTAAAGGCGAACATGACCCAAGGTGTCACAAAGTGGGCAAAATTACTTGTCTTTTTGTTTACCTTCCCTGCTAGGTTTTAAGTGCTTTAGAAGAAGGAGTCTTACCTTGTTCACTTCCTAAATGTGTGTATTAATGTGTGTGTGTGTGTATGTGTGTGTGTGTGTGTGTGTGTGTGTGTGTGTGTGTGTGTACAGGACCTTGGTATCTACGTAGCCCAAGCTGGTCTCAAACTCCTGATCTTCCTGTCTCTGCCTTCTGAGCTCTGCTGCCCAGGTGCCATATTCATCTTCTTTCCTGGAGTGCACACTGAGAGGCAGGATATCTCCTCTTGCAGAGCTGACCTGAACTGCAGGCCTAAAACTGTCTTTTCCGGTCCTCTCCCACCCCTGCTTTTCAGGAACAGCAGCATGGACGAGGAGATTGAGAACCCATACTGGAGTGTTCGAGCGCTGGTGCAGCAATACGAAGGACAGCAGCGGTCCCCATCTGAGTCTAGCTGCTCCAGGTATGTGTGGCCTTGCTGTCTTTACCTTTCCAGTCTTGGTAGAAAGTTGCTCTCTGGGGGAGTCTTAGCCTCAGTAGCAAGACCAAAAGCATGAAGGCACCTATGGGGTTGAGTACCATACCCTGCCAGGCTTGGGTTGGAAACCTGACTGGGGTAGCGAGGGAGCAAAGAAAGGACAGGCATTGAAGAAATGACTCACAGACATCAAAAACGTTGGGATGTGCGAACCTTGTGGTATTTATTAGGTACCTCACAGAGGGGAGGAGTTAGCTAGTCTTGGTAGGTCTCTAAGTGAACAGTCTGGGCTATAATCATCCAACACCCAGGAGCCGATAGTTTGGCACAGGCTGGTCAACCATTTGTGAACACTCATACTTGAACACTGTCGATGTTTGCACTCAGCCCAGAGGAAGCCTTTACCAGCTCTGAGCCCGACCACTCTGAGTAAGGCCTTGCCAATTTCCCATGGGTCTGAGGCATTGGTCCTTGACCTGACAGCACCAATGTCAGTACACATTCTCTCAGGTCTTCACCTACGCCTGACTTATTCAGTCACGGCTTCTTCAGCTCCCCACAGACTGCTGGAGGGCTTGTCTTGCCGGAGGCCCTGGGTTCAGACCCTAGTGTTGAAAAACAAAGAGCTCCTAACCTCGTTTGCTTCCCTTAGTTATCTTTGGCATTCAAGGACTAGTTGAATGCCAAACGGCCTGTGAGTTTGGTATTGACAGAAGAGTGGGCTACAATGCTGGTGAATTTCCCACATATAGAAACTGCAGCGTCCCAGTGACAATAGTTAGCTCTGGCCACATGGGGGTGTGGCTGGGACCTTCAGAGTTCAGTCCAACCCAGTGTTTGTGTGCCGTCAGCTGCTAGTGTTTATGAAAGTCAGTTCCTGGGCACTGTCCTGCAGGCTGAGTCTGAGTCTTCAGTTATAACCACAGAAGGCTGGGGAAAGCTCCCGGCAAGCTAGGAGAATGTGCAGGACTGTCTGACGCATGAGCGTTTCCACACTCATTTATAGCACTGTGAACTGGGGCACATTAGTATGCACTGAGGTGGGATATGGGTGATTGTGACTCTGGTAAAGAGGCTCTCTGCTTCCCTTAGAGCCAAGGGCAGGGGTCAGAACAGGACAGTCTGCTTAAATAAAGGCTTGACCAATGCCAAGTATAGTGGCAGAAAAGGATTACTCTCCTGGCTCATGGAGATTATGCCCCAATAAATACATCTCCAGCCTACTTGCTAACTTGATTTTGTTGCTAAATTATATTGAGCGTATCCTCTAATGATCTTTTCCCTCCTACTCCAACCCAGCATAGTCTGATCTATTTAAATTTAATTGTGCCTTGTGTGTATTTTCCATCTTTTTTTCTTCATCCTGTTTCTTTTCCTCATACAGTCCCATCCTATTTTGACAGACCATTTTCTCATTTATGGAGGTCCTGTGGACCTCTTTCCATCAACTTAATATACCGCTAACCTAGCTCAACCTTGAAATGTTTACATATAATGGGGTAGTTTCTATTTCTGACACGGGTCTCTAACAAACATTTCACCATTAAACATCTCAAAGTGTTCAATGTACTACCTTTACAGGTCTGTGTAAGCCTCATCTCTATTCACTTAGAAGACATTTTGACCAGCCCCCAGAGAAACTCGCCCGTGAAGCAAGCAGTAGGTGTGCTTTTAATGAGACTCAAAACCACTGCTTTTTTTTTTTTTTTTTCTCCTGGCTGAAACTATCTTTGGCTCTTTCCAGTATCAAAGGCTGTTCTGTTGTCTAATGAGGCCTATTGCTTCCTGCATCTCTGCTGGCCTTTGGCTCTCCTGAGCCTGAGTGTGCCTGTGAATTAGAAGAAGGGAAGAGAGCTTGGTTCCCAAGGGTGGCTGCTTCCTTCCTCCAGGCAAGACTGAGACTGCGGCTGGAGGTGTGAGATCAGTATGGGAGCCGCTAGATATCGGGCTGTGTTGGGCTAATGGCAGCCCTAGGAGATGTGTCAAAGATTACATTCCCTTGGTTGTCCTCTTCTTCCTGACTGTGCTGTTCTTTGGGATAGGGTCAGCATTCTGTCAATTTCTTCACTGACCCCTCAGGAAAGGAGAGGGCTTCTAGCAGGTTCTGCCATTTGCCCACTTCCATTTGGGCACCTGTTGACCCTGTGACCCCTGAAAGAACCAGCAATCTTGCAGACGTTGCAATTTTGGGTGGGGTAGAGCTTCAAATAGGATAGACATCCGTGGTGTCTTCCCCTGCTGCTCCCTCCCCCCACCCCCGCTGCTTCTCAGGGATGCCCTAGCAAAACAAAGCTCTACCCTCCTGTTGCTCCAGTAGACAGGCTAAATTCTCACTGTACCTAAGCAGAACGATCCTTTGGGGGAGGGGGTACGGACGGACAGACGGACATACGAACCGCTAGAGGGGAGGGAAGGTGGGAGCAGCAGATGGGAGAACATACTGCTGGTTTGCTGAGGGTGGGGGTAGCTCCAGTCTCTATCCTGCCTGCGTCTCCCATTCTACTAAGAGCGAGCGAGCGAGCTTCTCGAGATTAGATCAGTCTCAAACCGGCGTGTCCAAGGAGGGAGGGGTCAGAGAGGTGCAGCAACGAGGGAGGGGTCAGAGAGGTACAGCAACGTCTTCTCGGCTGCCTTCTCGGCACCAGGACCATCAGATCCACGCGGTTTTGCTACTGCGCTGCCCATCCCCCGCTGCTCCCCGAGCTCTGGACACCCTCGGTCCAGCCAGTTCCGGACCGCGCCCTTGGCCCCGGCCTCGGTCGGCACCCCTATCTCTCTGCCCAGTGCCGTCGGCTGTGCTTGGGTCGAAGCCCGGCGCTGCCTGGCCGCGTGTGACAGCCTGGGGAGGGGGGGGGGGGAAACAAGGGGGGAACGGGAAGGGAGGGATCAGGAGGCGGCGCCGAGCAGGAGCTCATCACACCGGACTCCACTCGACGCTCGGCAGAAGCCACCAGAACCTCTCGCCCTGAGGGAGATGGGTTGAGATGCCGCTGCCCGGGGGAATGCTCGGAGCCGCGCGGCTGCAGGGACCGGGATGCAGCTGCCAGCGAGCAGCCGCTGGCGATGGGAGGAGGCTTCCGCCGAGGCTGGGCTGCGGCGGAGTCTGAGCTTCTGGGACAGCGCACTTCACCCCAGGGAGCATCCCTGTCCCCGGGGCCAAGAAGCCCACCTCTGCCCATCCTACTTTCTTCGGAGACCCGAGCGAATCGAGCGAATCGTTCCGCTGGCTGACTGATCTCTGGAGTCGTTCTTCGAGCCCCCGCACGGGAGGGACATGCCAGAATTTAGGAGCAATGTGACTCTCAACCTCCCACCTCATCCAGGGAAGCAGGCTTGCTGAAGCCGGAGCCAGGAGGGGACCATGGGAGGGACACAAGTCAAATGGTGAGCTGAAGCCACTTTGGCTAGTGAGGTGCGAATACGAGGGGAAGCAGAGCCAGGGCCGGGGGACATGGTTGACTGGGGATAAGAAATGATTGGGGGTGCTATTCAGTAAGAGCTGGCTGCTGGTCTGGGATTAACACTACAAAATAGAGTTATCTGAGGAATTTGGAGCCGACTTTGGGGCGATGGGACTCTACCTTTTGGTCTACTATACATTTAAAAAATTAGTGTGTCTAATTGGCGGTATCTTTGCTGGGGTTTGTTGGTACGATAAATTAATATGGGTGAATACTAGATTAAGAAATGCATGGATAGGACCTATTTGTAATCAACAGTTCTCTGACCTCAGAGAGGGTTATGATGATAAGTAGGGATTGTTTGTCAAGTATGACTTTTAAGCTAGTTAGGGAGGAGCCCACATCTTACAATTAATTAATTAGCATGAAGATACTTTTCTCTGACCTGAGGCCGAGGATTTAAAGCACCTTCCTCTTCTGGGGGTGCGGGGGTGTCTTACTGCTCTGACACATGCCCCAGGATTCTCCTCCCTCCAGGTTCAAGATCTTGGCTGTCTAGCTTCCTGGTCTTACCTCCGTGGCCTTATCCTGGCAATCTCATTTCAAGAAAAAGAAATGTTGTTTTCCTTTGCCTGCCTTGCCACTCCCCCGGTGGGGTTGGATAACCAGACATCCGCCTCCTTCTGCCCATATATGGGAGGCAACTTACTTGGCGAGAGAGGTGGAACTGAGCATGCGTCTGTGCTTTTAGGAAAGCCTTTTCTCAGCATCCGAGATCCCCCATTACTCCCTCCCTCTCTCCGATCTGTCTCACACATCCCTCCTGCCGTCCAGCCAGATGCAGGCAGTGGGACTTGTTATCCAGTATCTTGTCAACTGGAGAAGGAGGGGCAGCTGACAAGGGCTTTGTGCATCCGGATTCCCGGTTTTGTAAGAAGTAAATGCTGGAGCCTAAGCACTCATAAATCTCTCCTTATTAGCGACACAGCCCCTTTACACGAGAGCCTTCCCCGTGGCTGTGAACTCACGTTGGCCTGAAGGTCAGATTGCCTACTTAGTGAAAATGGCTAAGAAAACACTCAACATTGCTGAGTAGTACCTGATACCCCTCACTTCTCTCACCCGCTTGATCTATACACCTCTAGATGTAAAAAAAAAAAAATCAGATTATAAGAAAGATGAAGACATAGTACCACTTGAGATCATTTCCACCAAAGTTCTTGGACTGTGGACCGTGGGGAGACACGAGTCCACGGTTCTGAAATCTGCTGCTTCTTCCATTGCGATTGTTTCTAGTGTTTTCTCTGGTTTGTGGGAAGAGGAAATTGTTAACTCCTGCTTGTGGTCGTAAGGATTAGCCTGGGAGACTTCAGGGGCACATTAAGGGGGTCAGTGAGTCCTAGACACTTTCCCTGTTGTCTGGGTGATAGATTTGGAAAGAATTCCCAAGAGGGGGCTGAGCCGTAGACTCCGCAGCCCCTGAGATTGTGTTGGTGCTGATGTTCTCAGAGTGCAGCGCGGAGAGAAAGGGCTCTCCAGACTCTTCTGTCCTTATATGATAGAAGTATTACCCTCGCATTCCCATCTTGTCTGGTCCAGGGGAAGATTTAAAATCTGCTTCCCTGAAAACCTGAACAGTTCCTCTCATAGCTACATCAGGACACAGAAATTATTGAAAGGTATCTCAAAAATAACTTGAGAATATGAAACTATGGCAAATAACAATAAAAAATAATAGTAATTCTTCACTAAGAAAGAGCTAATCAAGTAAATTTTGATCCAGCTGCCACTAGTATGTTTTTCTCCTTTTGCCCCACCACTCTTATTGTTTTAAAGATTTATTTTTATTTTATGTGCATGAGTTTCTTTGTCTGCATTATATGTCTGCACCACATACATGCCTGGTGCCTGTGGAGGTCAGAAGAGGGTGTCAGCCCCCCTGGAACTGGAGTTGCCGAAGGGTGTGAGCCACTGTGTCAGTGCTGGACTGAACCCGGGCCCTCTGCAAAAGCAGTCAGTGCTCTTACCCAGCAAGCCACCTTTCCAGCCCCCTCTTCTTTTCATATTCTGGGTCACCTGCTGATAAATTACTGCCTCTCTGCCCATCCTGGCATTGCAACCACACGAGCAGTTCCTACCCCTAAACTGTCTTCTGCCATGACTCCTCTTTTGGGTATCACTTAGAGCTGATCTCTGGTCGCTTGTGAGAAACTCAGATTTTTGAAAATATGATTTTGATCCAACTCCAAAAGTTAATGAAACACAACCATCGCCCTCTGAATATGGGCCTAGGAATTGATAGTGGTGAATACCACAAAACAAACAAAAAAACAAGAAGCAACAACAGCAACAACCCAAAAAACAAAAAACAAAAAAGAAAGAAAGGGAACCCACACAACAAAACAAAACAGTTTTTTTTTTTTAAAAAAATGGCTTATTGACTATTCTGTTAACTCTCATTTCAATCAGTTGTGCTTAAAGGCAGTCTTAGTGTAGAATGAACTCCCTGGGGTGTTGGAGAGATAGCTCAGTGGTAGAGTGCTCCCTGCTCTTCAGAGCATCCAAGTTCAGTTCCCAGCACCCACCTAGAACAGCGTACAACTGCCTGTAACTGCAGGTCCAGGGAACTCAACATCCTCTCCTGGTTTCTGTGGGTATCTGATTTACAAATACCCCACCCCCACACAGAGACAGAGGCACATACACATAATTAAAATGTAAAATAAATAAATAACATTAAAAAGCAAACTAATCCCTAGGACTAGGCTTCTTTCACTTATTCCTTCCACATTTCTTTCATTTGTTCAACAAACATTTGTTCTAATCGTGAGCATCACGGTAGGCGTGGTATGAATAAGATATCTCTGGGATGAATTGTGAAAGTTGACGTCTGTATAACTGTTCATAATTGTTTCTCTTCTCTTTTGTTTGACCACAGTCTGACTTCACCCAGCCCAATCCACAGTGCAAAGAGTGAATCCGTTATAACCCAGTCAGAGGAAAAGGCCGATTTTGTGATTGTTCCCTCTGAAGGAATAGAGAACAGAACAGGTACCACTGCCCCGCCTGCCTGGGTTGCTTCAAGGAGAGGCTTTTAGTGTGAAGACTTTAGAGCTTCTGACTATCTACGTTACGGTTCCTGGCTGTTTCTATCTTCACGGTCTGTGCATGTAGGGTCAGGGCGAGCTCGAGAGGACTCTAATGCCTTTGAGCCAATTAGTGTCGTCATCGCGGTACATGATGTCCTTTCTGGTATTGAGCTGTCAAAAAAGCTCATGGCAGCGTAGAGCAGCCCGCCCTGACTGACTGCTATGGATTAGGAAGTGACACTGGGGCAGTCAGAAGCTATATTGGGGTAAATAGTTTTTACTATTCCCATTTTGTGGAGATGATTTTGGTTCTCCACTAACTTAGGTTGGAGCCAGGAATACATAGTTTAAACCAAAATGCCCATGAGAACATGCAGCGGGGAACTGGTCTTGGTTTAAGGGCTACAGAAAGGACCACAGAGTTCTCATTGCTTAAGCTTTTGAGCCTGCCTTATTTGCCTCCCCTCCCCCCCCATTTAAGCGTGAAAAGAAACATGGATAAGGCAAAGTACAAGTGTTAGCTTGACGTCTACTCATCTATAAAGGTTGCAATAAAACTGAACCCCACAAAAGAAAATCTGAAATGAGATTCTTCTTCACTCTGCTTCCCCTCAAGACCAAGCATTTGTACCAGTCAGTCGTAGCCTGGGTGTGGCGGTGCACATCTGTAATCTCAGCACTCAGGAGATGGGGGCGGGTGGATCACACACTTGGGGCCAACTAGACTACCTAGAGAATTCCAGGCCAACCTGGGCTACACAGTGAGACCCTGTGTCAACAACCAAAAAACAAAGAACCACCCATGGAGTCAGAATCTCTTAAGGCTGTGTAGAGAAAGGAGGAGGATTTGTTGACTTGCACTATCAGATACTACTGGGTCCTTCATGTTTTACCTCTTTTAATCTTTACCACAACTCAGGGAGTTGCTGTGCACCTCTTAGAATTAACAAGCTTGAGACCGGGCGTTGGTGGCGCACGCCTTTAATCCCAGCACTCGGGAGGCAGAGGCAGGCGGATCTCTGCGAGTTCTAGGCCAGCCTGGTCTACAAGAGCTAGTTCCAGGACAGGCTCCAAAGCTACAGAGAAACCCTGTCTCGAAAAACAAAACAAAACAAAACAAAACAAAACAAAACAAAAAAAAGAATTAAGAAGCTTGCCAAAGACTTCACAGCCATCTGTATTCCATAGTGCACATAAACGGGGATGCATGCAATTAGTATAAGGGACACCCGAGCAAAGAGGTCTCGAAGACAAGGAGATAAACCAGGGAGGAATAGTGAAGTTTTGTGAGTATGCTTTACTAAGTTTATTTCAGCGTGAATCACAGGATACTGTGTGAAAAGGGTTCAGTTATGCCTCAATGGGGTGAAAGGAATAGGTCTTAGTTGGGTTTCTATTGCTGTGATATAACAAAATGTCAACACCAAAAGCGAAAAGGGTCAGTTTTACTTAGAGGTTACAATCCATGAGGGGAAGCCAAGCCAGGAGCTCAGGGTGGGACCCTGGAGGCAGGAACTGAAGCAGGTACCCGTGGCCTACTGGCTTGCTCAGTTTGTTTCCTTAGACATCCAAGAACTACCTGCTCAGGTGTGGCCCCACCCACAGTGGCCTGGGCCCGCCCACACCAATGTTAATTAGAAAACGCCCTCTAGATGTGCCTACAGGCAGTCTGATAGAGGTGTTTTCTCAGTTGTGGCTCCTCTCCCCTGGTTTGTGTAGTTAGCAAACACCAGCCAGCGCAGGGCTGGTTGAACCACAGTCTCCCGTCCAAAGTTCCAGAGTCCCCAAAGGGATTTTGTTTTCATTTGCATCTGACGGTTCCATTACTTATAAATCGGTCTCTGGGAATGTGAGTTCTAAGGAGCTGGGAGTAAGATCTTTGTGTGCTATAACAAATCTGTAGGGCCTGGAGCCCCGCTGCTTCCCATGGTAAGGCTTAAGAGGGTGGACTTTCCTAACTGAACTCGTGCTTTCCCGAGCCTGGTACCCCAGTTAACAGCCAGTTCTTTGTGTCTCACAGCTCCACCTAGTGGAGAGTCCACTTTGTGTGTGCAGACAGGTTCAGAAGGCAGGTGACCTGAACCTGTGAGGTTCGCTGAGCCCAGGCTGCCGGAAACCACTCTTCTTCAACATGGACTGTCTTCCCACCTTTCATTTTGCAGACGAGACAGACTCTCCATTATCCCGAGACTGGAGGCCTGGGAGCCCGGGAACGTACCTGGAAACCACATGGGAAGAACAGCTATTGGAACAACAAGAACATTTAGAAAAAGAAATGGAGGAAGCAAAGAAAATGATTTCAGGACTACAGGTAGCTCTTTCCTTTGCAGTTTGTTCTTGGTGCCCTACCTAGTTATTCCTGTTAAATCAGTAGTATCAATTGGCAAAGGAAAAAAAAACCCACCTACTTTAGTTGTGTGTGAGTGGTGCCCACACTTGTGGACTTTGGAACTCTTGTTTACCATCCAGCTGTTAGGATTTGTGCAAGCTCGGGAGCTCCCACTGACCCCCGTTTTGTAGGTAGGCGTCTTTACTACTCTTACAGACCCACAACTGCAACTTTGAACAAAGACTGTCTCTCAGGAATTCAGCAGCAGAAAGGTGTGAGAGGCAATATTAGCACCAGGTTTCCATTCGAGTCCGGCTGAGGGACCGGCACCCTCCTGACGCATCAGCACCTGATTCCAAGGCACTGCTCTGTTAGGAGGTTTTCCTTGAACAACAAAGCCCTTCGGTTGGTCCTATACCTGTGCTATCAGTCAGGGGAATCTCCCCCAGAGATCGACTGACCCACATGACTGAGAGCCCGTCCCGTGACCCCCTCGATCCTCTGTCCTTTTCGATTGGCTCTGTTTGGAGGAGCCCTCGTAGTGTGCTGAAGACCCTGAAATTGCTAGGAATATTCCATTCTGTTTGTGCTGGGAACTGCACCAGTTTTGAATTGTGAAATATTTATGGACACATAAACAAAGCCCACATTATGTGCGAGGCTCTGGCAGGCAGTGGAGGGCGTGCTCCTAGCCAGCCGGCAACAGGGTGGGGACACAAAAGGTTCCTAAAGAAAAAGGGCATAATGTGTGCCCTAGGAACCCGCACCGATTGGAGGGATGTTTATGTCCTCCTAAACATTCCCCAAGAAATTTGTGGTGTCTGCTTCTTGCTCTGTATTAAAATAATTAAAAAAAAATCTGTTGGGTTCCTTTCGGTCCCTCCAGTAAGGCATATTTTAATGATGTGTTGTTGTTTTAATGGGAAGTTTTTTTTATGAATTTGGGTGATCTTACCTAACGAGGTTTTTCCCCAAATAATTTGCATTATGTGCAGAAAGCATGGGTCGCTATCAGGTTGGCTCTGCTTGGTTTGCATTCCTTAGCTTGGGAGAAAGCCAGTGACTGATGAAACAGAAAAATAAAGAAGGAAGTGGACAGGCAGAAAGGCAACATCCTAGTATCTCCTTCGAGCAGAGGAGTTTTAATTCACTGCTGTGTGGTGACAGTGAGGATCCAGTCTCACTGAGGAGCACAAAAGGCTCCCAGCATCCCCTGGACACTTAACTCTTTCTATGATGAACGAGTTGTATGTCAAGTCACATCCAGGCTTGGTGACTTATTAGTATGCCATGATTAGAGGCCATTGAGCAGTCTACCACTGGGGCTAATATTTCTGCGATGACCCCCGTGTGTGATGTCCCAGTGCCTGCAATTCCCTGCAGCCCCTGGGCTGTGTGCCCGCCTACTCGTTCCTCTTACTATGACTCCATGGGAAAACCAAGTTCATTTGATTTTCTCAAACATGATTAGTGTTTAGCTGGATTTTAGAGCATTCTTCATCATCATGTATGATGAATTTGTGTTATATTTTTTAAAGAGCTTTCATTTAGCCTCTGAACCTCTTTCAAGTTGGAACAAAGCTGTGACAACACAAGGACAGAATTTCCGATCTTTAACTCATCTGATGTATCTCACAATGCATACCTCAGCAGGCAGGTCTCTACATTTGGGGGCTCTAAAGTATGCCTGGATGCCGCTTTAAGAATAAGATTGTGAGGCTGGTGGGGTGGCTCAGCAGGCAGAGACATAGGCTGCCGAGCCTGAGGATCTGAGTTTGATCCCTGGGACCCACATGGTGGAAGGGGAGACCTGACTCCTGAAAGGTGTCCTCTGACTTCCCCACATATCCGTGGCTCACACGCACCCACACATAACACACAGATGTGCACAACAGAAAGATGGCTCAGCGGTGAAGAGCCTCTGCTTTTACAGAGGCTTGAGTTCGTGTCCCAGCACCCCAGTGAGACAAGGGCCGCAACTCCATATCTACGCTATCCAACACTCTCTTCTGGTCTCCATGGACAGTGAACTCACGTGCCCAAACCCACACAGAGACATTAAAAATAAAAGTAAATTTTATCAGAGCAAGGTGTTGCATGGAGGCAGAGATGGATAGATTACTGTGAGTTTGAGGCCTGCCTGGGCTACAGAATTCCAGACCAGCCAGGACTACATAGTAAGGTCCTATCACAATCAATCAACTGATAAAAAATAAACACAAATTTTAACATAAATAAAATGTAAAAGGAAAGGCATGAGACTGCAAACTATAAATACCATGTTAGGTGTGGGTTCCGTGGGAGAGGCAGCGTCCTAGGGCCCCAATGCTGAGCTCCTGAGTTTCAGGGCGCTCTGCCCCCTTTGTACTCACTAATGCACTGATGCAAAACAGCCTGGGGTTGAAATGAACGAGGCCACCTCTGGAAGGATCTCTCTTTCTTCTATTCATGTTGCCTCAGGGGGTGAAAATGAGAATTATTAAAACAAACAAACAGAAAGCAAACAGCCCCAAGGCCGTGTTTTCAAATGGATTTCAAACAGTTCATTGTAACACACTTCTCTGAGGCAAGATAATTTCACACTGATTTTAGATCCCCAGTCGGCTGGGAGAGCTGTGTTTGAAGAGTTCTAGATGGAAATTTGGAAATGTGTTTGGACTCTTCTGAAGGGAAGGTTTTGTTAGTAGTTCTTCTGAGACAAAAAATGCTCAGAGCAGAGGGTCTGTGTGTGTCCAGAAAGATGAAAGTGCTCCATGGTCCTCAGGGTGTAGTTCAGCTGGTAAGGGCCTTTGTGCTCCAAGGGCCTCAGGGTGTAGCTCAGCTGGTACAGGGCCTTTGTGCTCCATGAACCTTGGGGTGTAGCTCAGCTGGTACAGGGCCTTTGGGCTCCATGGGCCTCAGGGTGTAGCTCAGCTGGTACAGGGCCTTTGTGCTCCATGAACCTTGGGGTGTAGCTCAGCAGGTACAGTGCCTTTGTAGCTTCATGGAGTTCTAGGTTTGATCCTCATCACTTTGTAAACTAGGCATGGTGGTACATTCTTGAAATCCCAGCACATGAGAGGTGAAGACAGGAGACCCTGAAGTTCAAAGCCAGCCAGCCTGGAGTACATGAGACAATGTTTAAAATGGGGGAAGGGAGCTGTAACCTCTAGAAGGAGCTGTGCACGATCGGGGCCGATGGAAAGCAGAGGTTATCATCTGGTTTTCTTCAGAAGCCTGTTATATCATCTGGTGGTTTCCATTTGTGGTGAACTCACCCAGCCTGACTCTAGACTGAGTCAGGTGGCAGGGAGTTCAACCCCTCCCTCCCTTTGTGGTTTATCCAGGCCTTACTGCTCAATGGCTCCTTACCTGAAGATGAACAGGAGAGACCCTTGGCCCTCTGTGAACCAGGAGTCAACCCCGAGGAACAACTGGTGAGCTCCATGTTTGTGGCTGGATACTAGGCCTGGATTGCTTGACCTCACTTTTTTTAAATACTCTCTCCTGACTCGTGGAGTTCGCCTACCAGTTTTGATTACTCCTTCCTGGTTTCTTCCTTGATTTTAATCAACAGATGTCCAGCAAATGCTGACTCTTTAAGTCAGACACTGATCCAAGGTATTAGGTTACCGAAAGCTCTAGTCTCCTACAGTTTATGGCGGGGTTCCCTGAAACATTTTTTTCTCTATGTTATGATGCGGATGCACGTCAGCACCCTGGACCAGTCGTCCACCTTCCGTGTTTTCACTCTCTCTCACAGATGGATTTCCATCTGTGAGCTCAGCTCTCTCTAGAGAGTTGTAGAGTTGTGCCTTCAGCACACAGTCTCCATTATTGGGTGCTACACATACCTTGGTTTCAGTGGGTCCTCAACTAAGGTTTTCTATCCTCTATGTAACCCTGAATCTATTTGTCCTTGTATGTATGTCTGCATCTACTCATTCACTCAGATGCCCCAAAGAGGAACCCGTATATCATCCCTGAATTCTTTCTGCTCCTCCCCTCATACCCAGTGTCTTCATTTTCACAACTACTACTTAGTGTGGGCCTCTAGCCAATATCCTAGCAACCTTCCCAGGTTTTGCTGAATCTAGATTCTTCTAACCTCTTCCAGTTCATTCTCAATAAAATTGCAAGAATAATTTAAGGATAATTTTATTTCGTCTTCCCTTTGTATAAAAATTTTCACTGATGGTGTTGGAGAGATGACTCAGTGGTTAAGAATACTTAACCCGAGGTTAGTTCCCAGACCTATGGTGTGTGGCTCCCTGCACTGGTAGGGGATCTTTTACCTCTGGCCTCCCAGGCTCCTGCACTCACTTACACATACCAATAGGCAGACACACAACTACACATAATTAAAAAGAATAAAAAGAAATACTTTAAAAAACAATATTATATATATATGTATTATATAAATTCCCCCATTGACCTCATTGGCCCTTCATAGTCTGGCTCCCATTTTCCTTTTCAACTTCATCTTTTCTTCCCTTAACTCCCAGGACACACACACTTACCTAAACTTCATCCATATTGTTTTATGTCATGCATTTTGGCTTATGCTTGTATCAGAGGGCATGTATTCACAGTATGAAAGTGGTTTCTAGTAAATGTGTGTTTGTTGAATGATCGGTCTATGAACTTAACAGCGCAAGTGCATGGCCATCTTTGTCTTATATTCAGATTATAATCCGAAGCCGTCTGGATCAGAGTATGGAGGAGAATCAGGACCTCAAGGTAGGATAGGACGTGTACATTTTCCTCCTTTGAAAGCAGTTGTGGTACACAATGAGCCAGCTTTGGGATAGTTCTGGGGAGGGAAAGTGATGCGGTGCTGGGGGCTAGCTGAATCTCATCTGTGCTATCTCTTTCTTTGGAGGAGAGAAACATCCGAACTTTGTCACAATGGTAACACCTTTTTAATCTTAGTGCTATATCATAGTTATCTGTGTTATTTGGGGGAGTACCTTTCTGTAAGTTTGAGATCTTTCTATATTTCTTTTTTAATTGAGAGAAAAAGATGAATCTAGACTGGGCATGGTGGTACATAAATTGGAGTCTAGCCTGATCTACATACTGAGTTCCAGGCCAGCCAGAACAACATAGAACCTTCCCCAAAGAAGTTGGGGGGTATCTATTATTAGTGTGGTTCCTTTTTATGAATATTTTCCAGAGTTCTTTTAGGTCAGTGCTTTTGTTGTTGTTTTGGGGATTGTCTGCTTGTTTTAATTTTGGGGTTGGCATTGGGGCTATAGATCAGTGGTGTAATGACTGCCGAGTATGTGCAAGGTACTGAGTCAGCCTCTAATTCTATAATAAAAGACAAAATGAAAGGACTGAGTCCTAGGTATGTAACAAGGACATCTAGGTCAGTGGTAGAGCAACATGACTGAGCATGTCTCCCCAGAAATGGGGTTGCGTGCATGCATACACACTCAGACCTGCATTTTTGATAACTTTTGAGCCCATCTGTCGGAGGCCAGGTTAAAACCCAATTTTAGATGTGCTAATTATGAATCATTTGTGTGATATAATAGAGCTGGGTTTCAGTAACAGGCATTGCTTTCCTAAAATCTTGATTTTTAGTCACACTCATATATATGGAAATTTAATTACTCAATTTCCTATTATAAAACCAAATTGTTTGGACCACCAAGAACAATAACCCCAGTCCACAAAGAACAAGAAGTCTTTGGGAGAATCAGAAGCATGTCAACCCTTTGTTGAAGTTAAAAGAAGTCAGAATAGCTGTTCAGCAGCAGCAAACATAGGCATCGCATGTCTGAGTGGAGATTTAGTTGATGTGATCAAGTCTTCCTGGTGGTGGAGACTGTTGTGTATGGAGAGCCTGGGGCCTGGATGGGTGTCTTCTCAACACGGCTCTCCTCTGCCTGGGCAGCTCAGCGGCGGGTGCCACAGGACAGAGGGGTCTTAGTCTTGTTTCTGAGGGTCAGCCTTTACTGCTCAGGGGACTACATCTGTTCGTGCCTCAGCTGATGGGTTAATCTTCACGGAATGACCTACTGGGTTTTGTCTTCTTGTGAACAGAATGAGGTAATGCTTATGAAACAGCTCAGTCGCCACCATCTGATCTCACTGTGTTTGGTTTTGCAGAGGGAGCTGCTGAAATGCAAGCAAGAAGCCAGAAACCTGCAGGGGGTGAAGGTAAAAGGCAGACATTGCATTCCTTCTTTCTTTGCTATTTTATTCTTTGTAAGCCTCTGTGAGGTCGAGTGAGCTATTTGTGAGCATTGAGAGCTGGCTACTGGGGGACTGTTGGATTTGCTGGGAGTCTTTACCAGGCTTGGTCTAGGAGTATAGGAGGGGCTTTGTGGTGGGCAGAGACATGCTGAGGAAGACATCTTTGTTCTGCTGTTGTGACTCATGGTGCTGTCACTTGCCTCTGCACCACCTTGACTTTCTCTGTGTGAGAGCACTCTCTCTCTCAGTTCAAAAGAATGCCCTTTTTAGGAAAAAAAGAGAAGGGAATTGTTAATAACATTCTGACAGTTTAGAGACACAAAAGGATAGACCATGAAAATTCTCCCACCAGTCTGCCTCACCCCGCCCCATCCCATCCCGCCCCACTGCCACCTCAGCCAGTTTTGTTCCCCTTGAGGCAACAGTTATCCAATATGTCTATTTATTGCCTTCTCCCACTTTTTAACCCAAATAATAGTATACTGCAAGCACAGCTTGGCGTTGTGCTTCTTTCGCTTAGCGGTGTGTTTGAGAGGTTGTTCTATAGTAAATGCTCTCCTTTTTTATTTTACTTTTATGTGTGTGGATGTTTTGCCTGTGTGTATGTCTGCACCGCTTGTGTGTCTGGTAACTGAGGAGGCCAGAAGAGTGTGTTGGAGTCCCTGGAACTGGAGTTACAGATGGTTGTGAGCCTCCATATGGTGTTGGGAATTGAACTCAGATCTTTTGGAAGAGCAATTAGTGTGCTTAACAACTAAGCCATCTCTTTAGCCTTCACAATAGTTTTGTGCATGTATATTTGAAATTTAAATTTATATATAATAAATGTATATACATGTATATATGATAGATCCTGTTGGTGGCATTTTAGACTAGTTACTTTGGGGGAGCTGTTTTAATGGTATATACAATGCTTGAGCTAATAACCTTGAGAATATGTTATTTACGCAAATGGGATTATAGCATCTAAGTATTCATCTAAAGCTCCTACTGGTCCCCTCTGTCTTGCACAAACTTTCATTGACTAGCCAAGAGTAACTCAGTAGCATTTCCCAAAGCACATTCTGTAACCTCAGCGCTTTGAAGTATTTCAAAACAGAAGTGTGCCCTTTGATTAAATGAGTTTGAGAGATTCCTGATAGGCTTAAAGATTCTTTGTGAATAATGCCACATCGAAGGATCTCAGAAGGTAGAGCATGAGGAGGAGATTGTCCTGGGGCTGGAGAAATTGCTCATTGATTAAGAGAATTACTGCCGTTATGGAGGGCCTGAAGTTCACTGACAGATAGACACACACACACACACACAGACACACACACACACGTGCATACTCCACAAATAAAAATGAAAGCTTTGAAAACTGTTTTTGGCAGTCCCTGAAAACATGTAGACTAGCAGCCGCGGAGGCTCCTTTCCCTGTCATTCTCTGTCGTCTATCCCGTGATCCCGTGCAGTGAGCTTTGGAATGTGCTAGGCTACAAATGTCAGGGACATCTCAGATTGCCTCTGCCATGTACTGACCTGTCACCTGGGTGATTAAAAATGGGTTCCCTACCTGATCTGGTACTCATTGGAGATAAGAGAACCATGAATTCAAGGCCATACTGTATTACCTAGAGCAGTGGTTCTCAACCTGTGGGTTGCGACCCCTTTGGGGGTCAATGACCCTTTCAACAGGAGTCACCTAAGACCATCAGGAATATCATATATTTGCATCATGCTCATAACAGTAGCAAAATTGTGGTTACGATATAGCAATGAAAATAATTTTATGCCAGCACTCGGGAGGCAGAGGCAGGCAGATCTCTGTGAGTTCGAGACCAGCCTGGTCTACAGAGCTAGTTCCAGGACAGGCTCCAAAGCTACAGAGAAACCCTGTCTCGAAAAAAAAAAAGAAGAAGAAGAAAAAAAGAAAATAATTTTATGGTTGGGGGATCACCACAACATGAGGAACTGTATTAAAGGGTTGCAGCATTAGGAAGGCTGAGAACCCCTGCTCTAGGAAATGGGGACTAGGCAGAGAGAGAAGGCACTATATCAGGTGGATTGTTTATATACCCAAGAGGTAGACGAGAAAACTAGGGGGGAGGAGGAGGACTCCATCGTTCAAGGTCAGTGTCTTCCAAGTAAGACATGATGGGCATTTAACGTGGATCTATGTCTGTCTGTTCTCAAAAGCTACCCCTTCTTGTCTGACTAGGATGAGCTGTAGGCGAGGGGAAACCCGGTTTCTCTCGGTAGGGCAATGGATGTGATTTCCCTGTAGTTGACAGTGTCTACCCAGGTCCTTGTGGCAAAGTCCTTGCTATTCCTCTCATCCCCCAATTTGACAGAACTAGTGCTCGATGCGCAGTGCAGCGAGGAACTCAGTAAGAAGCACTGACTGGGCGGGTGATGGATTGAGGCTGCAATGGTGGGTGTCCTTGTTTCCCCAGGATGCCTTGCAGCAGAGGTTGACTCAGCAGGACACATCTGTTCTTCAGCTCAAGCAAGAGCTTCTGAGGGCAAATATGGACAAGGATGAGCTACACAACCAGAACGTGAGTCGAACGTGTGAACAATGGCCTCAGAGCGCCCGTCAGTCACAGGGGATGCTTCGTGAAGGCTGCTCAGCCGCCCTTGTAGTCTCCTTATTTTATTCCCAGGTGCCCACCTGCCGTGTCTATAGTTATTTTTATTCCCGTAAGACTCATTTCTGGTCTTAGGTCACAGCACCTAAGCCTACAGCACCTCAGATGGTCCTTGACTCGGCCTCAGCTTGGAGAACACTAAGGCCAAATTGTGTCTTTACCGTCTGCTTAAAGACACAGGGAGCTGGTGTGTGTTTTGTCACAGCCTGCCCTCTCTGTGCTTTATACTGTACTGTCGTTAACTCTTGCTGCCAAGCGGCTGGTTTCCCTGAGGGCTGGTATATGATACCTCCTTGCCACTGAGTTCTCTCTCACCTGTGCAGGTGGATCTGCAGAGGAAGCTAGACGAGAGGAACCGGCTCTTAGGAGAATACAAAGTAAGAACTGCCCTCCTGGTGACCTTTTGTGAATGACCCATGTTAGCTGATGCTCAAAGGGCACTTCCATATTCAACTCTCTCTCTGCTCTCTGGTAGGAAATCTTTCCATTAGCTCTACAGCATTATAGCTCTGGAAAGGGGCATAGCACAGGAACGTGGGAAGAGTCGGTGGCAAACTCACCTCTATCTCAGTAGCGAGGATGGCCCTTAGTGGCCCTCCTACAAGAGGTTTGCTTCCTTCTTGCCTTTCTAAGAATCCTGGCACTGTGTAAGACTGTGATGGTGTGGAAAGCCTTCCAGACATAGTGTGAAGGAAGCCCGTGTCCCTGAGGCTCTTCTTTTCACGGGGTAGGGTGTACAGAGTGTGAACCACTTGATATCCTTGTGTTTGCACACCTCTGAGAGCTTATCTCCCTTGTAGAAAGAGCTGGGGCAGAAGGACCGCCTCCTTCAGCAGCAGCAGGCCAAGTTGGAAGAAGCCCTCCGGAAACTCTCGGATGCCAGCTACCAGCAGGTCAGGACGCAGAAGCCACTGGCCTGCCTGACCCCTTGACCTGAAGGAAACACTTTCCTGATTTGCTCTGTTTTCCAGGTGGATCTAGAACGGGAGCTAGAACATAAAGATGTCCTTCTGGCTCACTGCATGAAAAGAGAGGCAGACGAGGTAACTCAGAACTTGGGTTTTCCTTCTCATGTTACCGGACCAAGTTTGTTAGGATTCTTTATAGTGAGGTGTTGAGTGCAGGTTCCAGGACCTGGGTGTGCAGCTCAGTGGTGGAACGTTTGTCTAGTGTGCGCAAGGTACCAGGTTCACTCTCCAGCACCGAGGGGACTGGAGTGTGGTACCTAGCGTCTAACATTTAGAAATGAAATATGAAAATAACAGAGACCCTCTCTCTTATAATGAAGACTATTAAATTACATAAGCAACTGAATACAGTCTTACGAAATCCACCTAGCACAGAGTTGGGTTTAAGATATGGAGGGGGGAGGACCTTGGACTTCCCACAGGGCAGGGAACCCTGTCTGCTTTTTGGACTGGAGAGGGAGGGGAAGGAGGAATGGGGGAAGGGGGAGGGAAATGTGAGGAGGGGAGGAGGTGGAAATTTTTAATAAAAATAAAAAAAGAATTTAGGACTAGGGAAAAGGTGAACTAAAGCTAGGTTTAAGTAATGGCTCATTAAATTTTATATGCTTTGGCATGTTTCAACTAGAATTCTATTTTAATCAATACTATGACTACAATGGTTAAATCAGAAATATGTTTATTGCATTTTCAAAAATTATTGACCATAATTTCATGTTTGATATCTGTGTTGGCTATTTAAATATTTATACATATAAATACATAATTAACAACAACAACAAAAAAGATACAAGTGTCCTAGGCCACGTGGTGGCGGCACACGCCTTTAATTCCAGCACTCGGGAGACAGAGGCAGTATGATCTCTGTGTGCTCGAGGCCAGGAGTTTCAGGACAGCCAGGACTACACAGAGAGACCCTGTCTTGAAAAACAAAACAAAAACACCAAAAAACATACACACACTCTTGCAGTCTTGATAAAGAGTACTGAGTGGCTGTGGGCTTCCAGGCCAAGGTCCAGTTCATTTGCTCTGCGTTCGAAATGCCCAGTGAGTGTCAACTGCAGCCTCGATACAGTGGGGAAAAGGGAGCCCGACATCTCCATTCATGACCCTAAAAATGTTCTTTTCATTTGGTGTGTGTGCATGCGTGCACACGCGTGTACACACCAGTTCTCATCTTCGGCCTGGTTGAAGCAGGCTCGCTCTTGTGCTGCATACACTGGGCCGGCTGACCCATGAGCTTCAGGGTTATTCTCCTGTCTCTAACTCGCACCTCACTGTAGAAAAGTGAGGTTTATGTACGTTGTTTCACCTGGCTTTTTACATGGGTTATCAGGATCAAACTCAGGTCGTCTGGCTTGTGTGGCAGACACTGTTACTCGCTGAACCATATCCGTAGCTTCCACATAACTTCTAATGTAAGCAGTAAACCAGTAAATAGTTACATGCTAGACCGGAAAGAGCGGAATGTAAAGAAAAGGTGTCTTGGTTTGCAATTATCTATCTTGTTAACAGCTGTCGTTTCTTCTCCCAGGTGACAAATTACAGCAGTCACAGCTCTCAGCGCAATGGCTTTGTTCTTCCAGTAGCAGGGAGGGGTGCCGCTTCGGTCACCCACAGAGGGGTAGGTGCCTAGGACTAGACAAGAAGCTGAAGTGAGAGCGACGCCCTGGCGATCACCAGCAGGCTAAGCCTTTGATTCTTGCACCTGATGGTGTATACAGATGCAAGGCATCCAGTATCCAAAATTAAAAATCATTTGTTAAAATTAAGAGTTAATGGGGGCTGGAGAGAGATGGTTTGGTGATTAAGAGCACTGACTGCTCTTCCAGAATGGAACCTCATGGTGGCTCACAACCATCTGGCGCCCTCTTCTGGCCTGCGGGCATATATGTAGAAAGAACACTGTATACTTTTTTTTTTTTTAAATCTTTAGTATTAATTAGTAGTCACTCAGTAAGTATCGAAGGAGGCATATTTTCCTCTACGGAACTCAAGCCCCATCCTAGGAACGTTCCCGTTAGTCCTCTTCAGCGCAGTGGTTGGGACGGGAATGGGAATACGGCATGGCTCCCTGCCACCAGCACTGTCATTTCAGCCACAGACCAGTGACCTCCAGCTCGTCCGAGATGCTCTCCGCAGCCTGCGCAACAGCTTCAGCGGCCACGATCCTCAGCATCACACCATTGACAGCTTGGAGCAGGGCATCTCCAGCCTCATGGAGCGTCTGCATGTCATGGAGACACAGAAGAAACAAGAGAGGAAGGTAATACTGCGATGTCTTGTTTAGGCAATCCCCTGGGGCAGCCTGGTCTAATGGGTCCATCCTTAAGTGAAGGCAGCATCAAGATGATGATGATGATGATGATGATGATGATGATGATGATGATGATGATAAAACAAGACCCTGCCGAGGGCTCCAAATGGGCTTCATTGGGGCTTCCATCGCAAAGGAACTGACTGTGGACGGGGTATGACAATCCAGGGAAGGAATGTGTGGTAACTTGGTGCTCAGCAGCGGTGTAGCTGTGTAAGGAATTGTGGTTCCCGAGTCCCCAGGATCCCTGCTGCTTATTCTCCTCCCCTCACTCCAAGAGGAGCTGACTCCGGGTGAGAAAACACACGGGGAGAGCACTGGAAACTAGAGAGCCTTTTGTAGCTGCACATGCTGCTAAGATAAATATGTCACATTTCGTATGTTGTGGTAGAGGACAAGATTTTTGTTTCCTGTCTTAAATTTTTGGGTAAATCCTTCTGCTGATAATAAATAACTCTTGACATCGTTATGACTTTCCAGGTTCGGGGCAGGTCACTCAGAACTCAAGCAAGCAGTGAATACCGGGCATCCTGGCCCCCTAATTCAAGTAAGTACTCGTTATCACAAAGAAAAGATGTCTGGAATATTAGACTAGAAATTTGGTTCCCCTCCTCCTTCTCTCCTCTTCTTCTTCCTATTCCATTCCTTCTCCTCCTCCTCTTCTCCCCCCCATCTCATTTTTTTTGGGTTCTCTTTTGGTAGCATGCAAGTCATCTTTCTGGACCACAGATACTAACTAGTACATAGGGCTGAAGGCACCAGCTTGTCTCCACATTCAGTGCAGGTGTGTCTTCAGCAGTGAGGCCTTGCTGTCAGTCTGTGGAGAGCAATCTATAGGCTTGGCAACAACCTGGGTTGTTTGGGGGTTTCTCATGGGACTCCTTTGGCCAACAACTCAGTTAGATGTAACCCAATCCTGGTATTAGAAGTTTCATTTGACAACAAGAGATGTCCAGTAGAGAAATAATGGGGAGACCCCCATTATTTGATAATTTCCTTTAAATTGCATTCATAAATGTGAATATTTTACAAAGTTTCTTCATATTTTATTTTCAGACTATTTTCAAATGCCTCTATTTTTAGCTGTCTTTTTCCATATTCCCTTCCTTATCCTCCACTCCCCTCTTCCTCACTTGATCCTTCTGTCCCAGCTTCCCACGTCCATCCATATAAGTGAATACACACCATGTTTGACTTATGCCCATGTCTTACTTTGGTTTCTGTGCTGCAGTAAAACTCTATGATCAAAAGGCAAGCTGGGGAGGAAAGGGTTTATTAGGCTTACACTTTAGCATTTCTGTTCATCAATGAAAGAAGTCAGGACATGTACTCAAACAGGGCAATCTCCTGGAGGCAGGAGCTGATGCAGAGACCCTGGAGCGGAGCTGCTTACTGGCTTGCTTCCCATGGTTTACTCAGTCTGCTGCTTTCTAAGAAGTCAGGACCACCATCCCAGAGATGGCATCATCCACCATGGCCTGGGTGATCACACTGATCACGAAATGAGAAAATGTCTTACAGCTAGATCTTAGGGAGGCATTTCCTCAGCTGAGACTTTCCTCTGGTGACTCTATCTTGTGTCAAGTTGACACACAAAACCATCCAGTACAGCAATATAAGTGAATACACACCATATTTGTCTTTCTGGGCCTGGGATATCTCACTCAGGATGATATTTTCTAGATCCATCTGTAAACAGAGACTGAACATTTGTTTCTTGATCACCCAGACCCAAATAAGCACACAGAAACTATATTAATTATAACACTATTTGGCCAACAGCTCAGGCCTATTTCTAGTTAGCTATTATATCTTAAATTAAATTTCTATTATTTTGTATTTTACCACGAGGCTTGTGGTTTGTTACCTCTTGTTCTTGGGCAGCCACATGGCATCTGCCTCCTTCAGCAGCTACATGGTATCTCTTTGACTCTATCTATTCTCTAGCTCTTCCAGCCTGGCAATATTCTGTGGTCATAAGTCAAAGCAGCTTCTTTATTAACCACTGGTAATAAAATATAGTCACAGCATACAGAGGGGAATCCTACATCATTCATCTGTTTACCTATGGATTTCATTATTTCATTCTTTTTAATGGCTGAGTAATACTACATTGTATAAATGTATCATATTGGGGGCTGGAGAGATGGCTCAGTGGTTAAGAGCACTGACTGCTCTTCCAGAGGTCCTGAGTTCAATTCCCAGCAACCACATGGTGATTTACAACCACCTATAATGAGATCTGATGTCCTCTTCTAGCCTGCAGGCAGGATACTGTATAAATAAATAAATATATCATATTTTAAAATCCATTCGTCTTTTGAGGAGCACTGTGGTTGATTCCAATTTCTGGCTATTATGAGTAGAGAAGCAATGGACCTTGTTGAGCAAGTGTCTCTGTGGTAGGATGAAGCATCCTTTAGGTAAATGCTGGTATAGCTGGATCTTAAGGTAGATCTATTCCCATCTTCCTGAGGAACTGCCACACTGATTTCCATAGTGTCTGTTCAAGTTTGCATTCCCCACTAGCAATGCATGAGTGTTCCCCGTACTCCCACTCCTTACCAGCATGAGCTGTTACTTGTTTTATTGATCTTAGCCATTCTGGTGGGTGTAAGATGAAATCTCAAGGTAGTTTTGATTTGTATTTTCCTGATGGTTAAGGATATTGAACATTTATTTACAGTGTTTCTCAGCTGTTGTTTTTATCTGAGTTGTTCTATTACTAATAAAGACTCAGGAGTCAGATATTGGGATGAAAACCTGAAAGATCAAAGTGGAAGGGGAGTGACCAACTGACATTCCCTTTTTTTTCACCAGAGACCCAGCAAGCATCTCTGTCTCCACAAGTCCCAGATAGACAAGACCATGAAACCTCTAAGTCCCTCCCTACTCCTTCCTGTGTGTCCTTTCTATCCATTCTTGGCTTCTCTATGGTTAATCCTAGTTGCTGGTTATGTCCCCTGGTTCAAGGCATCACAGTGCAATCAAATATTCTGCAACACTGAGCCATTTGAGTTTCCTCATGAGAATTCTCTGCTTAGATTTGTATCCCCTCTTCCCCCAACCGCAAGACAGGGTTTCTCTGTTTTACAGTCCTAGGTGTCTTGTAACTCACTCTGTAGACCAGGCTGGCCTCAAATTCACAGAGATTAGCCTACCTCTGCTTCCTGAATGTTGGGATTAAAGGCCTGCAACACTACCACCTGGTCACAGATTTGTATCCCATTTTTAATTGGGTTGTTTTCTTGATACCTAGTTTTTCGTGTTCTTTATATATTTTGGAAATTAGGGCTCTATCAGATATGTAGTTGGCGAAAATCTTCTTCCATTCTGTAGCCTGCTGTTTTGTCCAAGTGATGGTGTCCTTGGCCACACAGAAGCTTTTCAGTTTCATGAGGTCCTGCTTATTACTTGTCAGTCTTAGTGCTGTGTTACTGGCGTTCTGTTCAGGAAGTGTCTTTTGTGGCAACGTGTTCACGGCTACTCCCCACTTTCTCTTCTCTCAGGGTCAGTGTACTTTGTTTTATGTCGAGGTGCTCTATCCATTTGGAGTTGAGTTTTGTGAAGGGTGAGAAGTGTGGCTCTGTTTGGATTTGTCTACATGCAGGCCTCCAGTTTGACTTGCACCATTTGTTGAAGATGCTGTTTCTCTTTTTTAGTGTGTATTTCTGACTTCTTTATCAAAAATCAGGTATTCACAGGCACGTGGATTTATGTCTGGGTCTTTAATTTGATTCCATTGATCAATGTGTCTGTTTCTGTGCTAATCAGAAATTTTGTTATTTTCATACTCCCAGTTTCTGGGTAGATGTTTTTGTGCAGTGCTTCACTTTTATGATTTTTTCCTGAGCAAACAAGAGTCATATTGTCTCTAGGAATATGAGGACTCATGATGTTGTTACCACCAGCCATATGGAGAATGCTGCTGACATGGGCTGAAATATCTGGAAAGTGCAAATTTCAAAACATTCATGCTGAGTAAACCATAAAACAAAAACCATAAATCTAGATCACTGTAGTTTAAAATACTGTGCACACACACCCACACACAGACCCACACACAAACAAAAGTCTGCTTTTTCTAGGGGCAGGGAGTCCAATTTCTTTGGGGATTGTCTTAAAACTTTTGAGAGTCCAGGTCATTATTTAAGGCCTTTAACTACAGACTTCTTTTAATCTCCTACGCCAGACTTCTGAACAAGTCTATACTTATTCTCTTTCATTTCTTTTTAAAAATGTTTAACATTTATTTGTTGAGTGTATGTGTTTGTGTGCCCATGTGCCACAGTCCACATGTAGAGGCTTGAGGTAAGCTTGCAGAAATCACTTCTCTTCTACTCTGTGGGTTCCAGCATCCAAACTCAGCTATGCGGCAAGCTCCCTGGCCTGCTGAGCCATCTCTCTGGCTGTCTTTCCTTCACCACCCAGTCTAGCCCATTCTCGCTCTGCTCAGTTATTCCATTTATCCTCACTGTTGGGTTGCAGCGATGATCTCATTGTGGAGTCAAGTGGCTGCATCTCAAGCCTTGCCTTCCATTGTCTTTTCAAAAGCATTTAATATTCTCGAGCGGTCTGATGGAAACAGTCTCCACCATCAGTTCCAGTGCTGAGCAGTGATGTCCTGTTGCAGGCGCCTTGAGCACCCCTATATTACCACCAAAGAAAGACTGCAGCTCGGAGGAGCCAGGCAGGCCTGCTGCTGCTTCTCATCGCAGTCTGCTGGACTAGAGCCATTAGCTCTCCTTCTATTCTCTGAATGTGAATTCTGAATCCCCCCCCTTTGACTCCCTCTCTTCCTAGCCCTTGGCCACTGATGCTCTGCGATGCCATTTGAGGCCTCATCCCAGACCTAGACTGTCTCACAGTCTCGTTAGGGATCTTTTCCATTCCATGTGGCTTCAAGCGTTCTTGTATGTGGATTACTATTGCAGTTGTTGTCTAATCCCTGCGCTTTTCTGAGCAGCAAGGGTATGGATTTGAATGGCAATGAGATGTTCCTCTTCATAAGTTCAAAGGCTCTTGAAATTCATTCCTCAAACTGAATGCAAACCAACAGAGAGGAAAAACAGAGAGACTATAAAATCAGACATATCTGCAGTGCAGTCTGGGGCTGCCAGTGCACAGTGTATGGCTGTAGACAAGAATGCTAATCAATGGCACTTGGTCTGAGGTTCTTTGTTATCAAGTGGAGACAGTCTTGAAAGTTTTGAGCATTACATGAGACTTCACCTGAAAATCACCGGCAAACTATTGGTGCCACGATACCTGAGGCAGTGGTAGCAGGTCCAGACTCCTTCCATCCACTCTGACTGTGCCCTTTTCCTTTTCCAAATTTTCTCAGCCAAATTCCTCTCCTGTCCTTGACTCATGGGGAGAAACAACAAGCATGTCCGTGTTTTTTAAGATTGATTTTATTTATTTGTGTACATGTGTGTGCATGTGTGTGTGTATACTACATATATGTGGGTGCCTGCAGAGGCCAGAAGAGGGCTTTGGATCCTCTGAAGCTTGGATTACAGAGTGTTGTGAGCCGCCTGGGTTCTG